GCTGAGCTGCAAGGACCCTCTGGGCAGGGCGCAGCGCCCTGAGTGCCTCCAGCCGCGGCGTCAGTGGGACGAGGCAGCTGTCAGGCCCCTCCGCTGGCTCTGTCCCGGGCTCCTCGCTTCTTCCTCCCAACCGTCCAGACTCCAGCTTGTGCTTCGTCTGAACTTCTGAACTGCCTGAGGTGCCCTCCAGGCAGGAGCCACAAAACACAAACCTGTTTAACTGTGCAGATTCTTCATACAAGTTATGCATTTCAAACAGCTTTTGTACAATACAAAGATAAATGGTAATATTTAGGCTAATAACTTAAAATTCTAACTGTTCTTTACTTACAGATGATAAAGAAAAAATCTTACAACCTTGACAAGTTGAGAGAGAGAGACTGCAGGAGAAAGGAGAGGATTTACATGCACTTTTTAGGGTGCTTTTTTCCTGCTCTTTGAACAGGAGGCCACCTTTTCATCTTGGCCCCGGAGCTTTGTCCCGGGAGGCATCCTGGGCGTAGGTCTGTCTGCCCCGGTTGGCCAGTGTGACAAGAATGGCAGGTAGTCCATGGGACAAGACGTTTGGGGAATGATGCTGCTGACAACGGGCCATGGGAGTCACCCCCAGGGCCACCGACAGGAGCGGAGCCCTGAAGACTAACTCCTGGGGGTGGCATGAAGTGCCAAACACAGCAGCCAGGGAGAAACAGGGGCCAAAGTCTCAGGGCGTGATTACACATGCAATTGTGAGCCACCGGTAACCAGGCCCAAACAAAACAAAACACAAACCGCAAATCTGGAAGACTATTTCCCACCCAGATGACAGGTAAAAAGTTAACTATTTTAGTATAAAGGTTTTTCAAAGTAAACAAGAAAGAAATTCAAATCCCAGTAAAATAAAGGACGTGAATAGGCTAATCATAAAACTATAAGATGATCACTGTTTTACAATATACAATTTTAAAAATGCAACTTCATTATCATCAAATAAATACAACTTACAACAAAAAGTCCATTCCAGCTGTGGCTCTCAGTGAACCACAGCTCAGGAGGACTCAGGGCTGGGAACAGTGGGGCCACGGGACTGGATCACAGCAGCGTGAAGAGGCGAAAGAACAGAGAACATTCTGGCTCCGAAAACGTTAAAATGCACCTTCGGTTGGCCAGGAACTGAACTCAGCTTAGGAAGAAGTAACGGGCGAGTGAGAGGTTCCCTGGTGTGGGCCTGGTCGGCAGTCGGTGCGGATCCGCTCCAGCCGGGCAGCAGCCGCGTTGGGACCTGTGGCCCGCGGGGCTGCTGGGTGTGTGCTGCCCTAAAGCGAGGCCGCGGCACAGCGTGGGAGGAAATCCCCGCAGGTCTGCATGAAGGTGTCCTAACTCCCCACTGTGAATAACGTATTGTCTGCGTTAAATGTAACGTATTTTGATGCATGAAGAATGCTACTTTTCTAGATTTAAGGAGAAGGAGGAGGAGAGGGGGCTTGGCAGGAGGCGCAGCATGGCGGGGCCCTTGCTGTGCCCAGCAGAGGGGCTCCACAAAAGTTGCCAGCCCTCCTTGCCCTCCTGAGCGCCTAAGGCAGAGAAAGGAGTGGATTAACCCCCATTTTCCTATGAAAAAAAGAAAAAAAAAGTCTTGCCCTTTAATGCAGGGAGGAAGTGGCACCTCTGGCTATTTCCCATTGCCCTGAGGGTCAGATCCAAGCCGGGTCAGCTTGCCTCCAGCCTCCCCCAGCCCTGGGCCCCCTGCTCCCTGCCGCCCCCTGCCCCGCCTTCTGCCATAGGCTGTGGCAACTGCTCCCTCAGCCTTCCCCTCGAGGACAATCATTCAAGTCTCAGCTCTAGGGCCACCTCCAGGCACAGTGCCGTCTACAAAGTGGCCCACCCTCCCCAGCTCCCCTGTCCTCTCTAGTCCACGAGCTATTTTATTTCCTTCCTTGCATTTGTCATTCTCTGAAACTACCTCATTGGTTTTTCACTTATGTATCGTGTGTGTCCCCAACAGAGCAGAGACCCCAGCCCATAGCCACAGGCCAGCACCCCATCTTGCTGGCAGCTATACCCTCACCTGGCCCGTCCGGGCAGGGGCTGGGCGCATTCGTGAGAGCGGGCTGGGCCGCCGTAGGGAGACCCCACCACGTCTCAGCAGCTTAGCCCAAAAAAGGCCACTGCACGGTGTCTTGTTGCCTGGTGTACTCCACAGCCTAACTCGGGTGGGGGCCCCGCCCACGTCGTGGCTGGCCTCCTGGGCCATGGGGTGCAGGGTCCCTGCGGCAGGGAAAGGAAGTGAGGGACGGGCGACGCGGTTCCAAACTGCCTGGGCCAGGAGGGGACACACGTCACTTCCTAGAACACAGCCCCAAATTAAGTGCAAGGGAGGCTGGGAAATGGAAGGGAAGAGGCAGAACATGAACATCTGATGAACCTGAAATGTCTATGTCACATCAGGACCCTCGTCACAGCACAGGCTTTGCCACAGAGAGACCCCACGGGAAGAACCACTCCGAGCAACGCAAGAAACCACGCAGCTGAGAGTGGCCAGCATCCAGCCACCCCGGCATCTAGCCCGCTGGGGCCTCTCCTCCGCTTGTGCCCTGCGTTCCCAGCCCCCACTGCAGCGACCGGCACCAGAGCCCCCGCTCCCACGGCCTCCGTGGCCTGCTCAGGGACGGGCTGCACCCCTGCATGCCTGGGCCCAGGGCCTCGCCATGGGAGCACTTCCACCCTGGCTGTGGCCATCCTCACTCACAGCAGACCCAACGCCTCAGCTGGAGTGCAGTCTGGGCTGGCGGTCGCCACATCTATCCTCCACGTTGCTGCCTTGGATCTGTGGCCGGGAAGCCCAGGAACCAGCTGGGCATCATGAGGAGAGGCAGACGTGGCTGGGCCAAACCTCTGGGGGCCCCCGGCGCCAGGCGAGCTGGCACCTTCAGGGTCTTGAGGCCCCACACCCAGGCTGCCCCTGCTGCCGCTGGGCACCATGCGCCTGGTCAAGGGCAGAGGAAGGGCACAGCAGGTAGTCCCGATGTGCACAAAGCTTCCAGGGCTGCACTGTCCAACATGGCAGCCACTAGCCACATGGAGGGTTTCCTCTGTTGCCCTCCTCCAAGACCACCAAAGGGCTCCGCGCATCTTGAACTGACCCCCAGGACTCTCCCAGGTATGCGTCGCCCTAAATGAGGACACAGGGCCTTAGACAGCATTAGCTGTCAAGGCAACACATGCCCCAAGCCGCCCGTTCCATCTCCTCCGCTGCCTGCGCTCGCAGTGGGAGGTGGGCTCAGGTCTCCCGCCTGCCGCCCTGAGCCCGGGGCTGTCCCGCAGGCCTCCGCCTCCGTAGGGCCACCGGCTGTGCCTGGGACAAGCACGCACCCAAAGAACCCTTGAGACAGGGACAAAGACACAGCCCACCTACTCCTTAGCTCCTCGGTTTATCTCCCAGAAGTAAAATTTGTTTCAATTTAAGAATTTTTATATTTCTCATGCTTTTCAAGAGGTGAACCAAACCATCCTATTATCCAAAATTTAAAACAGTTTAATGGGGATGGTGTAAATGAATAAACTGGAAGTTAATTGGCAACACCAAGAGAAAGTTCTAGACTTCCTCCTACAGGCTGGTGTGGCAGGAGGCCTGTGTGACAGAAAGACCCCGCGCACCAGGCTCAGGAGGAAGTCACCAGGGGCGCGCCCACCCTCCGAGTGCTCCGCGCGCTTCTCAGGCCCCTTCTAGCCCTGGCCCCCGCCCCACGCCCCAAGGCTGCGGTCAGGCCCCCGGGCAGGGCCCTTGAGGGAGGCAACCAAGCACGCACACATGCTTCTCTCTCTCCTCCTCTCTTTCTAAAATCAGTGAACATATCCTTGCATGAGGGCTTTTTTTTTTTGAAGGATAATTCTAGCTGTGCTGTTGCTGAATTAAATATCGCCACTATCATGACAGCGAAACCACATTTTATTCAGTGACTGAAAGGCCAATTCACCTCCATTACCTCATTTAATCCTCTCGGCGACCCCAGAGATGGAGACTACGGACCCACTTCAACGACGAGGAAACCAAGGCTCCCAGGGCCGGGCACGGGCCTGCTGCGCTCCAGGTCCCAGGCGCTGGGCCTGCCCACTGCCCTGCCCACTGCCAGCTCCACATGCGTCTGCCTCCCTCCACAAATCCGTTCTCCCGGTCGAGGCCCACGCACAGGATGCCCCTGCTCCACCCCCACCCGACTCTGCCAGCTGCCCCCCTGCCTGCTCCCCTGAGCCGGCACTGTGCAGGTGGAGGTCTCCAGGCTCGCTGTGACCTCCACCAGGGATCAGGCCACCAGGGAAGGCGCTCCATGCGCAGGCAGCAGCGGGGCACTGTGCCCCGCTGCTGCCAATCAGGCGGCCGCCGGAGGGCGGGGCGGGGCGGGGCCTGCAATGACTGTCGGCCCCTTCCCCTCTCCCGACGAGTAGAAAAGGGGCTCCTGCCTTGCCACGGCCCGACAGGCGTAGGTGCCACACAAACACCCTGTTAAATAGCCCCGCTTCGCGGGGAGAAATGGGTCCCCTTTCGATCTTCAATCCCTCCGGAAGCTCCCGAAGCCTGGGTGCCCCTCGGCCCCTCCGCAATGCACACCCAGCTCCTGTTTCTCGTTTTTTTAAATAGCTTTATGCTTTACTATTAGGTGACCTTTATGTAAAGTAAGGTTTCCTTTGTAAATAATTTTAAGTTTTAAAAGGTCAGTTGATTTATAGGAAAATACACAGTCCAGGTACAATGCACATATGGCAAAAATTAAGAAAACTGGTCACAACTAACTGGAGTTTGGGAAAAATCGCCTCAGTGGGTAAACAGCCTTGCCAAGTCAGAATTCCCCCTGCCCCACTGACAGGTGAGAAAACAGGTTCAGTGTGGTACACGGGACAGTCGCCCTCTCCCACCCGGGGCCCAGCAGCCTCCCTGTGGCCGCGCCACCCACCCTGGGCCCCCGGGGAACCACGCAGAGCTCGGCGCCCTGGCCCACCTGCGCGCTGCCTGCCCCACTTACGATGTTCATGAGCGTCAGCAGGTACTTCTGCACGTGCTCCTTCCCGTGGAACTGGACCACCGAGTCGTCCACACCCAGCAGGACCTCGATGTTGTAGTCGTCATCGGCCGCGTGTCTGCGGGCCCTGCGCCTCGAGCTGTTGACCCGCTCCTCCAGGACGCCCAGGGCACGGCTGAGGCTGTCCAGGCTGCCCAGCGAGGCCCCTGGAAGGACAGAGGACACAGTGTGCGGCAGCCCGGCTCCCCAGGGGCACGGGGCAGCAGGGCGAAACCCCACTCCGATGCCACTTGGCACCTGCCTGGCACCGGCTTGGCCATCATCTTGTTGAAAACTTAGAGCAAACAGAGGACACTGTTGTCCCATTTTGCGGGAGCACAGACTGGATTGCAGGGAGGGTGACAGTGGCGCCAAGTCAGCTCAGACCCAGCGGCACAAGCACCGTCGCCTGGGCAGCAGCGCCGAGCCCAGACTGGCGCCCGGTGACCAGCAGAGAGGCCGCGAAGCCCGCTGCCCAGCTGCCCAGCTGCCAGTGGGTGCGGGCACAGCCCCATTCTTTCCCCCACACACTCCGCCCTCAGGAAGGGCTGCCAGGTGCCCAGGGGCTGGCCTCCCGAGTGTGGCCACCCCGTTACCACCGGAGAAACCGAGGCCCAGTGTGAGCCCCCAGGGCCTCCCCCGGCAGCTCTGTCCAGAACTTCCTGCTTAGTCCTCCGCTGAGGCGAAGGTCCTCATCGCTGGGCCAGGTCCACCTGAGACCTCCCGTGGTCACCTGTCTCCAGGTGACCTGTGGGTGGCCCTGGGCCCCCGCTGAGGAGAAGGGCCCCTGCTGACTGAACTGGGCAGGGACCAGGACAAGCCCTTGCAACAGCCGCCTCACAGTCTTCCTGGTCTCACCTCCTGCTCCCACAGGCTTGGCACCTGGCCCGGCGTGGGGGCGGGGCGAGGGCCCGGGGCCTTAGCCGAGAGGGCCTGGGGCGAGCTCCATTAGGCCCGGGGCCGAGGACCAGGCCTCAGCATCGGCCAGGCGGCGGCTGCCCTCTTGCTTCCCTCCTCCGCTCCCCCTGGGCTCGGCAGCCCTGGACCGGCCCTGCCCCCGGCTCCTGCTGCTCCTCGGGATCCGGCATCCGGGAGCGTGAGGAGGGGCTTGTCAGAGACGTCTGTCCCCGGAGGGACCTTGGACCTCAGGTCAGCGTGACCTCGCCAACCCACCCAGGGCGTCGTCCAGGCCTCACCGCCCCTGCAGCTGAGGATGGGGCTGAGGGCCCAGTTCAGTGGTCAGTATCCCTGCAGGCCGCCTCTCCTAAGAGTCTTCCAGAGAAAGTCTTCTCACTTGGCCCCAAAGCCTCTCGCCGGCTGCCTCGTCCACGCAGGGCCTGGCGCTCCCAGCACGTCCTAGCGCTGCACCACGGGGCTCCGCCGAGAGGCAGGGCCGCGCACCGGCAGGACAGGCAGGCAGCCCCCCCACCCCTGCCCCACGGGCTGGCACGTCTGCCCCAGTTCAGAGCCCGGAGGACTGACGGACGGAGCCCCCGAGGCTGCCTCTCCGCCAGGGGCGCTCTCCCTCACCCCGGCTGCCCGTCAGCTCTGAGGTGCAGGCCCGCAACCGGGCCCCGGCACAGAGGCCAAGCAGCACGTGCGGATGCTTGCAGCTCTCTGGTGCTCTAGAAAAAGCGGGGCGCAGGAGGTGCCGGAGAAGCAGAGTGGGGAGCAACACAGCGAAGAGGAGGCAGCCGGGGCAGCGCGAGCAGCTGCGCGCGTCCCTGCGCCTCCTGCGGCCCTCGCGCCCCGCCCCCTACAGCCCCCGAGGCCGGCACACGCCGTCGTGCACGCGGGCGGCGGGCGGCGGGCGGCGCCCGGCAGCCCCGGGGAGGCCAGCGCGCAGCACCCCCGGCAGGGCCAGCGCCCGCTGGGCTTCCTGGAGGTGATCCAGGGACCTCCTTGTCTCTCCCAGAGGACAGACCAGCCACTTACATCTGACGGATGTTTGAGGAATTGCTACTCTATTTTTACACATTTATTTCTTTGCATTCCCAACAAGCAGGACAGCTCACCTTCAAAACCACCTTGGGAAGCACAGAGATGGTCATTTCCACAAAAAGCTCTTCCCTGGGGAAGAGGCTGGATGCTATCAGCCTCGTCAGGGTCACTGACGAGGGGTCCCCGGGCAGGGCCGGCTCACACAGGCACTTGTTAGGGCCAAGTGGTGTTTTAAAAATATCTCAGTTGGTCGACAGTATTTCAAAATTGAGAAATTTCTTGTGAAACAGAACCTAGAATAGCCAGTTTCTCTAAGGAATTAGAATCTGGGGTCACAGGACAGGTGGGTGTGGAGTGGCAGTCACAGCTGGAGACAGAACACAGAACTGCGTCCCCAGGCACCTGGCCGGCTGCCCTCCTGACCCCCGAGGGCAGCAGAGCGCCCCCTCCACCTCCAGTTCAGGGAGTTGCCTGCGTGTCAGTGACCCCTCGTGACATTCTCTGGGGAAGTGCGAGGGGGCTGCCACCAGGTCCGCCTGGCCGGACCATACCTTGTAGCTGCCTCTGCCCAGCAAGGACAGTTTTTAATTACATTGTACATTACAGGTCCATCGAAACAACGTTTTCTAAGGACGATGAAAGGTGCCAGTTTCACTTCAAGCACAACTGTTATGATTATTATTTTAGTTATGATTATTTTGTGAGTAACTTGAGCCTCATGCTGTAGAACACCCCAAACCCCAAAGGCCCTGCCCCCGGAGAGATGCCCCCAGGCAGAGGTCAAAGTGCAGATGAGGACAGGAAGACAGGGCCCCTCGGGGCCGCCCGCCCTGCCGCCCAGCCTCTGGATGCCCCAGGGCTGCTCAGCGAGGAAGGCTGCCTGCAGGAGCAGCCCCGAGGCCAGCAGGCTCCCCCGGACCCAGGCCTGGGCTGTCGTCCTGCCCCACCTTGTCCATCTGGGGTGTCCCCTCAGTGTCCCTACCGCGGGCTTGGTCCTGCGGCCCAGACTGCGTAGAGGCCCCGGCCACGCCCCGTCCCAGCGGGCCTGTCCCCCGCTGAGCGCTGCGGCGGGCTCGCGCTGTCGTGGGTGGGCTGCCACAGGGTTCCAGGACTCCAGCTCTGGCCCCTGAGGCTGGCCCCCGTGCTGGGCCGCCCCCCTGGTCTAAAGGCTCCTGCTCCTCCTGGGCCCTTGGGGCCGGAGGGCCTTCCACGCGCCCATGCGCCGGGAGCACCTGCAGCCCACCCAGCCCGCTGCGCCAGCCCTCAGCACTGGCCCAGGCCCGGATCACAAGCTGCCGCCCCTGTGCACGGCCTCCCTGCGGGGAGAAGTCGCTGGTCGCCAGGTGGCTGGTCCATGGTCGATGGGGGGACTGGACCCGGCAGGCGACGCTCTGTTGAGCGGAAGCGTCTGTGGTGGGACCCTACCTTTTCAGTGGGTGGTCACAGGGATTGAAATGCCTGGCATTCCCTGTTTTGGGGGACCCTTCTGGAAGGCAGCTGGGGCTCTTTTTGCTCATGTCCCAGGCAAAGGATGACACAGCAGGAAGCTTCCAAGGGCTGTCCCCAGTTTTATCCTCTAGAAACTGGGCAGGGTCCTCAAAAAGTTGATCGACACTGGGGGGAGGACGGGGTGCGGAGCAGAGCTCTGTCCAGGGGACCCCCTCGCATCTGTCCTGCGGGGGAACGAGCAGGTTCGGGGAAAAGCTCACCCACCGCCGCTGGAACACAGGGCCCCGCCCGCACTCCTCCCCCGCATCTGGGGCAGGGCAGGCCACCCGCAGCCCTTCATGGGGACAACGCTCCGCCACCCCCACAGCCATCCGCCCGCATGGGGAGGAGGCAGCGCCTCCGCTCGCTGCCCTCATTAGGGCCCCGTTTTAGCATCAGGGAACTAAGTGGCTGAGACAAGCCGCAGGGCAGGGGCCCAGCATCATTAGCGTCGCCCAGGGGGCCCCGTCCACCAGTGCCAGGGGCAGTTGGGGGGAACCTACATTGGTAGAAACAGCATGTTTTGCCCAGAGAAAGGGAACTGGAAGGGGAGGCGGCTCTGAGCCTGCGGGGTTCACGGGTGCCTGGTGCTTGTCGGCCCCGCGCCAATGGCACGCCCAGGTCTTTGCTGTGTGGCCTCTCCGCCAAGGGTGCCCCTCCTGCTCCTACCCGAATGCAATGCCCTGAGCGGGCCCAGCAGGAGCCCCCAAAGGCCCAGAGGGAAGGGGCTATAGTGCTTGTGTGCAGCCCCATCCCTTGCACTGGACTCAGGGGCGGGTCTGGCCCCCGCCAGCCTCTCTGCGGGGAAGGGGTGTGTGGGGCTGCGGGAAGCCACTGTGCAGCGACGGCCTGCTGTCCCGTCCACGGAGCCATCTCCGCCTTGTTTCTCACTGGACCTGCTCCCTCTCAGCCTTCAGGTGTCAGCTAAAAGGGCACTCCGCGGAAACTTGCCTGTTTCACCCCACATTAGAACAGGCTCTCCGCTCCCCTCGCCGTGTCTCCCTGGCAGCGCCCTGCTGTCTTCCTCCTGGGGGCACCCCACTGTTCGCCGCTCTGATCTCACCTGTGAATGTGCTCCGGGGTGACTGTCCTTCCCTCTTTGGCTGGAGAGCCCCAGGGAAACGGGACATGGGGCCTGTGTGGCCACAGGAAATTAACTGCAGGGCTGTGACGAGTCAGGCAGAGAGGTGATGGGGGGACGCACAGGACCCAGCAGGGAGTGGCAGGGGTCCCCTCGGGGCTGGGAGCTGGGCCACGGAGCTGAGCTGCGGGCACTGGCGGAGGGGCAGAGGCCAGCACAGAAGCCAGAGGTGCATTACCTGCAGGGACGTAACCCTAACAAGCTGACGCGGGAGGAGGTACACACGGCGACGAGAGAGTTACCCTGTAATCGCCAACATAAAGAAGCCAGGTGTGGCAGTGTCTGTGAGGCAAAGTATAATCCAAGGCGTTAAAGGGGCAAATGGATAAACAATTCCTTGAGAGGGCGTAAAGGCATGAGCCTGTGCGCCCGACGGAGCTTCAGCCTCCTGCAAGGAGGAACAGACAAGGCCAGAGTCCCACGCATTTTAACACATTTTTTCCCAGAGAACAACAGATTTAGATAAAACATGAGATGGGGCTGTAGAGGGTTTGAATTACTGCCTAATGTTTAAGCCCAACAACCGGAAAAATGTGTCCTCACATTTTTTGAGAACTTATGGAACAAATTCCAAATTTGACTACACGTTATGACAAA